AATACATTTAATTTATAGAGCACTTTTCAAGAAACTCGAAGACACGTTACATGAGTTAAAAAGGAAAAGAAAAAGTTAAAAACAACACATTATAACAACATTATAGCTATATCACACTCAACAATAATTCATTGTTAAAATCATTAAGAGCAGTTCTGACAATGTGGGTTTTGGTCAGTGATTTGAAGTTGGATGGATCAGTACAGTCGTAATAGTTATTTTTTGTTTGTATTTGTGTGGAATTGGTTAATGGATGCATTTTAAATCGCTAAATTCTACAATAAACATGTATTCAAACATGTAGCCTGACTAACTCTGACCAGCTTGTGTCTGAACTTTTATTTTCAAGAATAAATCCTGCAGAAATCCAGCTGTGTGCTTCACCTTCTCTCCTCCTCTCATCTCTCTCCTCCTCCTCCTCCTCCTCCTCCTCCGTCTCTCAGTCTATCGCCGCGGCCGACATGGACCACGCCCAGCTGGAGGCCTTCCTCACAGCCCAGACCAAGAGGCAGGGCAGCAGCGGGCTGACCGCCGAACAGGCCGCCGCCCTCTCTCGCTTCTGGAAGAGCCAGCGAGTCCGGGTGAGGGAGAGTCTGCTGGCTCAGAGCCGCTGGGAGCCCGGCCTCAGGGGCCTCTCCTGGAGGGTGGACCTCCAGACCGCAGCCAGCCGGGGGGATGCGGCCCACAGCGGCCCGGTCGCCCTGATGGAGCTGGAGCTGGGGAGAGCCGGCCAGGTGAGACTGACAAACCTCTGATGCGTTCACTGACTCAGTTTACTGACAGGGCAGGACATGGGTGTAGCTGATGGTGGAGCGCCCTCTGCTGGATCATAGCAGTAAACTGAGAGCTGATGTTGGTGTGAGGGGGAACGTTGGAGCTTTATGCTGTTTGAATATGAATGAACACGGCCGGCGGCGCAGGTTAGATACGACGGGAGGCCTGGCTCTGGAAGCAACCGGATTATTGGTCTGTTTTAGTCCGGGTCCCATGAGGAGGCTAAATTTACACAATCTGGGTCCTGGACTGTTTCCGAGCCCCTCCCAGGGGACAACTGAACACTGATCATATGGTGACCTTAATTCAAACCATCTAAAGCCAGGGTCTTAAATTTACACCCGAATAGTGGCAGAGCATTTATGTAAATTAGATTATTTGGGTCATGTGGTTCCAGTCCACAGTATTTCCACACTTTGATCACCGTTAAACATCAGATATGTGAACGATGGATACAGTTTACACTACTGTGATTACATGGCTAACACAAACTCGAAAGTCTTGTATTGCTATCTAGAACCACCTTTGTGACATTAAAAACTCAACATACCTCGCTAACTCAGTGTGGGAACTGTTTGTCACTGACCCATTAAAGTCAATTTAAAGTGACACAGTGAAATGGATCTGGCAAACTGGCAGAAAGAGTGGAAATACTTGAAAGCTACAAACAATCAGAGTCATTCTGTGCTCTTCAGCCCTCTTAAGCTCTCTTAAGCTCCGCCCTTTTCAGCCTGATTTCAGCTGAAAATACTGGAAATGCCTGTTCTGAGTCTGTGTGCTCGAAATCATTCCTGGAAAAAGCTAAAGAATACCTGTAATGTCAGCACTGACGGCCTGAAATCTATCACACAACATACAGTTAAGGGACTCTAAAGAGAAAACTAAAGCAGCAGAATGCCTCTTAAATACACAGTTTTTCAAATCCTTTACCTCCAGTTTGTGACAGTACGTCTCAGGACCCAGTCGTATTCCTTCTTACGTGTAAGTTGAACATCTTGTGTAAACTGTGTAGTGCTTTTAAAGGTGCACAATCTGAAATAACAAATATAAAATGTGATAAACAGCGTTATAATGAAGTACTGTGGTGCTGTGGAGATTCCTGCTCTACAAATCCCCTCCAAAAACAAAACATGTTTGTTTGGTCCTCAAAAATTTTGATTTTTCTTTGTTTCTCGACTAAAAGAGGGAAACCTGAATGATTCTGGAGATTTAAATAATATGTTTTAATAACCTAGTTAAGGGTTTCGTTTGCATGTGTGTCGCTGTTGGTTTAGCTCGTGTGCTTGCAGTCATTGAATAAAGAACACAACCACCAAATGCAGCGCCCATCCAACATCACAGCCCTCAGTTTACAACAATCAATGGTGTTTTTCAGAATCGATACGTTATTTTTCGATATTTTCTTACATCCCAACTTCCCAACAGGAGATTCAATCAGCCAATCAGCTCGTCAGACAATGCGTGCTGAGATTTGGGATGTATACACACTGCAAGCATCTTATTCTTATTCCTCTCCTAATGTTTTACAACCTATCAGCCACAGGCCTCGTGGTTTAATGTTTATGCTTCTGTTGACCATTTGTTGTTGCATTAATCCCCCAAATCCATACGGATCACTGCACAGAGCCAGAGGCTGATTGATAGGTCTAAGAATTATTTAGCTCTAATCCTGTTTTTCTATTTTTAGGTTTATGATGGAGCTAAATGTTGAAATTCCTTTTGTCTGGAGAAATTTGGGGGAAATTACATTTCATTATTTGGTTTGTAAAATGCTATGGATGCTCTGGGCTCAGTCCAGTACGGGTCAGGGGTTAATCAGCGATGCCCAAAATGACCAGGCTGTCTGCAGAGTTCATCCTTTTCTACATCTTCTGCTGTGGCTTAGGGTCTCTGCAGCAATAGCAGGAACAAAACTACCTGAAGACTCTCCTGTGAACAACAATGATATAATTGATTCTTCCATTCACCAACTGTAACAATATATAGCCACAGCCAATAAAAGCAGAAACGTTTTAAAACATTTCTCAGCTAAAATGTGCATCATGCCTTAAGTCCTGACCTGGTTGCGAGGGGTGGACACGAGTCTCCGACTCTCACGAGCTTGGCTGGGTAGCGATTCTAAATCCCAAAAATCAAGAGTTTCAGAAGAAAATAGTATGCTTGATATGCTGCAGGACATTAGCATTACAGGGCTCAAATATGTGTGCGGCTCCAGACAGATCTCTTTTGATAGTAGAAGCAGGTAGCACTGGTGGGGCACCGACTCATGCAGTTGTGTGTCTTAGTCTTAACCAATGTATACCCCAGTATGCAGAAATATTAAAATATGCTGCGTGAAAATAACACATTTATAGCACATGCAACAAACTGCAAAGTTTTTGCTCAAAACTACATTGAATGAGTATAAAGTGGGCCGGTCTGGGAGGCTCGTGGATACCCATAGAACCCATTTTCATCATGGGTCAGAGGATCCCTTTGAAAAAGGCCATGCCAGTTTTTCCTGTGCCAAAATTTAGCCCACTTTCATGTTAGCCTGATTGGTACCGATGGATGCGTTGGCCCATCGAGTGTCATTTGATACCTGCTACAGCCCCTGAAAGATGCTATCCCTGGAAACGCCCCTTTGTCTATAGCAAAATAGTTTGGGGATTTTAAGGGCATTTCTCATGGTGAAAGTGAAGTGTGCTGTCCTGGTGGGGAGGGTTGGTCCCTCAGGAGTCTCCCTTGTCCCTGTTCTCTATGAATCTGACCCAATCTGTGTTTCCCACAGCGCAGAGAAAGCAGGTCAGCAGACTAGAACAACATGCTGTTATACTGTACTACACTGCAAGATACGCACACTATTATTAGTCCATTCAAATCAAATCTAATTATAGCCAGCAGGAGCCTGAAGGCAGCACAAGTAGGTTGAGGAGGTAAACGTGTTAACATCGACCATCAAGGTGCCCTTTAAAGTCTTCAGTCTCGGTGGAGCTGGATGAGACGCTGTCCTTCGTCAGTGTGGAGGAACCTGGTTTTCATAAACTTCAGACTGGAAATCAGGCCAACGTGTTTCCATTTACGTCTGCATTAACTGAATTATTATTAATCAGTCTTTTATCAAAAATTAGACCTTCTCCATTTATATTCCTTTCTATGTCCGGATGAGGGTTGAATGTTCTGCTTAAAATCCAAAGGATGTGACGTTTATGTGAGCGCTCCTGACTGCTTTCTCTCTCTGCTTCCTCACATTGTGCAACAGTAGCTAACACTGCTGCAGCTCCAGTGTCATCAGCAGAGCCACTTCACTATCAAAGTTACTAAACTGGAATCCCACCTGTTTACTGAATTGCTGTGAATGTCTGTACTCTGAATAGGAGTGTTAATAATGTGTCTCCCTCCCTCTCTCTCTCTCTCTCCCCCCTCAGGACTCAGAGTTTGTGTGTCTGGAGTTTGACGAGACCAACGTCAACCAGGTGCTGAAGAAGATGGCTGATATCCAGAAGAGCATTGACAGCATCGTTCAGCGCTCCTGAAACTTTTGTCCTCATGCAGCAGAGAAACAGCTGCGACTGAACAACTCAATGGCTGTTTTCTCTTCGCTGTGCTGTTTCATCTCGTTCGACAGCGTCACACAGAAACAGGAGTTTTTCTGATCTGTGTTTGCCAGAATGGATCCAACATGGCTTTTGCACAGATTGAACATACTGTATAAAACACATGATCACATGTGATTGACTTGTTAATGGACCAACATTTGTTTTTTTTATTCACTTAACCCACAATAATTCAAAGTGCTGGACTGTTTTACTGTCACTGTTTGTATCAGGATGCTCATTTTGAGGAAGGTTCCTCTCTGATCATGGCAGCAAACAAATTGACCTTTCTTGAGGAAGATGAGGTTATTGAAGTGTTTCAGAGTCTTAGTAATTAGTTTGAACCACCAGTTTAAAGCAGGGATTTTTGGATTGTGCTATGAAGAAAAAACGGGAAACAAAAATCTTCAATATGACTGCAGTGTAATGTGAACATCATGACAAAGATGATGTGACTTTCACGTTATTTTTTGAATGTGGCTCATATCAGATCACAAGTCATGGTCCTAAAGTGACCTGTGATCTGATATGACCCACATTCAAAAACAAAAAACTAATAATTTAGAGTGATGTAAAAGTCACATGACTTCTGATATAACTGTTCACACTGAGGTCACATTGCAAACAATCACACTGTACCTGATTTGGAGCACATACATATGAAAGCGGCTCGATCAGAATTGAAGAGATCAGATTTAATGTGATTTGTGCTGTTGGTTTAACATGCTAACATTAGCATAGCAATGTCTATGTTGAGGTCAAAAATTCAAAATGGCCGACCTCCTGTTGGGTTTGGGGTACGGGTCCTTAAGGCTTTTTTACCCGTCTGGAGATGATCTACACGTGTACTGATTTTCATACGTATAGGTGAAGCGCGCTTTATAAACCTGCTCTATAGGGGACGTTGTCGAGCCATTTTTTGGTGATTTCAGCTTTGAGCAACATTTGCTACAGAACTCTACACTATTAGTGTATAAATTATAAAGCCTTTTGTTCAACAAAAACAAGACAAACTTCTGTTTTCATTCCTTTAAGGGTCATTGAACTGTGAAACCGTGTTATCATACCGAGAAAATCTCATATCGTTGCTGTGATATTATCAAACTGTTTGTACATTTGCATGAACATTTATCCCACAGCAGTACAGCTGACAAAGTCCAGTCTGGACTGATAAAAGTTGGCCTGGTATTGGCATCAACAGACAGAGTTTAGAGCGTCCTGTTCCTTTAAGACAGTCCTGAGCCCACCTGATCAGCACTTTAAGGCTTTAAGGAATTGTTATAAAATGGACGGGTTATATTACTTCCTGTAAATGAATACTTGACGATAATATAATACAATAAAACAAAGTTTCATTGTGTTTAGCTTATTTTTCTGTGGCTGTGTTCAGAGACGAGGACCTCTGACGTGCACTAAAAGGCTGAAATCGACTTAATAAACTCAATTGTGCATTTACAACCCAACACAAGTTTGTGCCAGTTAAGATTAAAAGCGATGCTGAGTCATAAACAAAATTAAATGTTTGCCTTGTTCTCCTTGGTGTCCTAATACTGAAACAAAGATCAGCTTTATTGTTTGACTACCATAAATACAGCAGTATAATCATTGGCCCTGTAATATAAACAGGATGTGTCAGTACTGGCGGGGTAAAGCTGGAGGCGGGTGGAGATCTTTTTGTGAACTGCTCATTGTAAATATTTCTTTGTCTAACTGCTTTGTAATAAACCTCAGTAGACTTTGAATCACATGTTGGAAAAAAAAATTTCGCTGCTAATTATCTTGTGCAACTTCTGCCTGTCATGTCATGTTCACAGTCGACTGTTCGGATGAGGCCGAGGGTTGGTTTATGGGTGGAGATGGACTCGCTCAGCTTTGATAAGACAACCGGGTCTTCGCGCAGCAACAAACTCCGCTTCAGTGTGCACCTGATTTAGTTTCACAATGAGGCTTGTAACTGCATAAACATGATGACTTCCTGTTTGCTTACTGCTTGGAAAGCATAGTGATTGTAGATCAGTAACGATCCTGTAAAACTCCAATGAATAGCTTTTATTTGCTTCAGACAGGCCTTTAATTCCTTTTGCACAAAACTCTTGCTCAGCAAAGACAGGAAATACTATCGAATTGATTATTTAAACCAGTTTGAATATTACTTAATTCTTAATTAATTAATTTATTATTAAGTAATATTCTAATTCTATTAATATTAGAATAACTAAACACTTGCAAGTCTGTAATTTGATGATTTGATACTTTGGTGCTCATTATTTCTGTAAAATGAACCGAACGATGGAATCGTAGAGAATCTAACTGATCTAACGATGCGTAGCATTGTTCATATTGAGAGAAGTTTACATGTATATTTGTGTAGATCACACCAAGGCCTCTAATGGAGACCTGCTTTTATTTGTCAGAACATGTAGCTACACCAGGCTAGTAAAGGAGACCTTTGTCTGTTTGAGACTCTGCTTTTAATTAAAGTTTTACGGTACATTCTTCGACAAAAACAAGCTCCATTAAGGGTCCCCGTACCCCAGGTTGAAAACTTCAGATCTAAAAGATGTCACACTCAGTGGTGTGTCGGGGGGGGGTTAGCCACACTTAAAATCTGATTGGCCACCCAATTATCCTCCCCTGATACTGCTATCATATGAAACTAGATGACCTAACGCATCCATCGGTACCAACCATGTCATGCTAGCATGTTGGGAAGGGGCCAAATTTTCAAAAGGGTCACTTGAACTCTGACCTCAAGATATCTGAATGAGAATGAATACTGTGGATACCCACAAGTCTCCTCTTTACAGACTCTTTATGCTAATCCCTAATAGTTTTTGGCCATAAAACCATGCAGTCTTAGTGTTTCTGCATCCTGGGGTCCATAAACAATGTTAGAATTGTGTAAACTGGGAACTTGACACCACTCATGCATAAGTCAGCGCCCCACTTGCCCATCGATGCAAGGTGCAAAATGTGATTAAGTGAGATGAAACGGTTTGTTCTCAGCACAAACAGCAGCGATAATCTAGCGTCGTGCTGTTATCGACCAGATTTCACCGAGTTATTTTTAGGACGATTCAGAGGGTTTGAGGATGAGATCAGGGGGAAGCCTGAGGGGGTCAGAGGTCAGACATCCACCAGTTACAACAGTCTGAGATGTAATTATGGAGCTTTTATCTGGCTGCACCACCACAGAGGCAGTTAGAGCAAACATTACTATCTGAAATGTGAATCTGAAATTTAATACTTATATGCATGTCCAGTGTGGAAAACATGTTCCTATCGAGACTCTTACCAAGTAAAATTCAGTGTGTAGCCGTTAGCTGCGAGGCTGTTGGTCTGTCAGTCCACCATCTCAATGGCTATTGTCTGAGTCGCCTGCTCTTAATAACCTTGGTGATAACCGGACTTTTCATTTACGATCATAAATGACAAAGAAACCTCACATTTAAGAACCTGGAACCAGAAAATAACTGACATTTTGGTTGACAAATGACTGAAACGATTCATCCAATATTAACATTGTGAGTCTCCCTTATGTTTAACTATTGGGAAGATTTCCATGAAATCCGTACACAAATTCAGGATGAATTGTTATAGTAGCTCAAAGGGAACCACGGTCCTAAACAACAATGTTTGATGATAATTAAGTCTTTACGGTCAATCGATCAAACTACGATCAAACCAACCCCTGTTTCTCCCCTTGTTGTTCTAACTATTCCTCCTTTCCCCGGGGACCCCCTACAACATACTGAGGGACCCCTGTTGGTCCCCAGAGCTTTGATTCTCTCTGATTGGTTGTTTTCGTTCGGGTCGGGTGGATTCTCGCAGGAGCCAACAGTAAAAAGTTGTTTTTATAAAAGTTACCTGCTGCAGCTTTAACATCGTACTCATACATTTCTGTCCCAATTCAAGCTGTGACTGAAGTTCCCCAATTATCTCTCCAGTATGGAAGAAGATTAGGGCCAAATGTGAACATTTTATTTGAAAACTCAAATATGATGTTCACATTTGGCCCTAATCCTCTTTCGTACTCACTTCAGCCCAGACCTGCAGATGTTTAATGCTTTAATGAGGATGGAGTGAAAAGATTCCACCAGCACTGATTATCCCACCAGCATTGATTATCCCACCAGCATTGATTATCCCACCAGCATCCCACCAGGATTAGCTCCCATTCAACCTGAGGGAGGAGTCAATGCGCGCGCAACCCACGGGAGATACGCACACTCTTTCAGCAGTCTACCTTTCCACCTTTCTCCTCCCGGGGCGCAGACGGTAGTTTTATCTGTCCGAGGGTCGACGAGGGTTTCTGGTCTCACTGAGTCCAGTATTTTAAGGAGGATTAGATCGAGTCCGGGTCTCCAGAGCGCGCCGGCTGCAAGATGAGGAAGGCGCTGTAGTTCAGGTGCAGCCTGTTGATCGGCTCTGGACTTCCCTTTTATTTCCCAACCAGGACGCACGGAGCCGAGCTGACAGGTGAGTTTGTGCACAGAAACACACACGTTATACGGTGTGTTTGATGGCGCTGATGAAGAACTGAAGAGGAATAAAAGCAGTGAACACAAAGCTGGACTCTCCCTATCCTGTAACCTGGATCCTTTACTGAAGCCTTTTATTCACAATGATCCCAGAAAACATTGTAGAAAAGTGCTCTAAACTCATGAAAGATTAATCAAGCTGCATTATTCAGCTTAAAATGTGACTCCAGTCTTTAGATGGTGGCTTAAATATCAACTTCATGTAACCACAGGGGCGGATCTAAAAGGGCTGCCACACCTTAAACATGCCTGGCCACCCCATTGTGGTGTCGAATTTAACACATTCATTTAGATGAGATTGAATTTAAAGGACTTTAATGGAGACAAAATGAACAATTTTGCAAGTTGGTCCAAACATTCATGCTGTTTTATTTGATTTTGTCCTTCCTTCATAAACTTATATTTAAACATTTCTTATTTAAGATGATAATCACAGTGTGGTTATGGACCTTTCACGGTCATACAGTGACCTTTATATTGTGTCACAACGTGCTATACAGAATAAAACTAACAGATACAATGAAGCACAGAGAGAATGAGGAAGAACACATAAATAGGAATAAAAGCATTACAAATAAAAAATACAAATAGATTTCAGTATTTGCTGGACGAGGAGCTACGAGGTCAGGGAAACAGATAGATGGTCCCTCCAGGGACCCTCCAATTGCTATTATTATTATTTTGTATAATTCATTAAAAATCAAAAGTAATTTGTTCCAGTGAGGATAAAACCGCGCTGTTTGCAGGGTAAATGTGAGACATTGTCGTTGCACATGTGTGCATCTTCACAATAAGAAACAAGGAAAAGAGTTTGGTGATGTAAAACTATAACGATTGGTCAAATTTGCAGCGATTGGTGGAATTTGCGTTACTGTTGCAATAACAGGAGAAACTGTAGAGGTCTAAGGAACTATTTGAAAGAAGTAAATACAGATCAAATAAGAAACAAAAATAATTAAAGGGGTAATATATCTATATAAAACATTACCCTACTGTACAGTATCTATAGATGATGGGACTCATATTTGATGCATTACGATGAACACTGGAGGCATTATTACCATGTAATATAAAACCACACGGGTGCAGCAACGTAACCCTGATCAGTTTAACACTGGACATGATGTCACCCAGCTCCCTCCCTTTAGGTTAAAGCACCACTGACACACATTGTCACCTGCTATGATAGGAGGCTTCAGGTGTTTGACAGGGGCGGATCGCTAATATATACTTTACCTTACAGTAGTAAATATAAACCCCTGTAGTCCCTATAAACTACATTAGTCAGCATCAGCATGTTCTTTCAGCAGGAAACCAAACAATGATGGGTAGTGTTTGGACATATGGGTATGAATCATAACAAGAAACACTGACTATCACTTTACATAATGCATTAGAATTAGGTTTGAATAACAGCTCTAATATATGACCTGACAAAACTTGCTATAAACTGGCAGGATTCAGGCTTTATGACAGGCAGTAAATTCGATATGCCCTTAAATGAACTTTTATAGTCCTTTTGACATTTAGCTGGTGTTGTTCAGTTGTGTGATCAGTTCCCATCAGTGCATCAGTCTGGAGGCATGTAAACGAAAGCCAAAAACAACCTCAGCAGTCCCTTTTTAAATTTTCTTTTAGATATAAAAAACGTTTTGTAGCTTAACTGGGAAAACACTGAAAATTAGGTCAAGGTTTAGGTCAAAGGTTCCACAACTCAAACAGGGAAACCGGTCGCAAAGTCAATTCCTTTTTGAACCTGTTTACACCTGCTATTAGAATGTGACTCTGCTTCGTTTGCTCATTATGTTGGCACGTAAAAAAAGATCCCCACCACATAATTTGCAGTCAGTTGCTCATCAACTAATGTCGTGTGTTCACAAACATCTGCTGCTTGTGTTAACCACATCATTTGTGTGACAGTGAACTATGCAGACGGCGTGTTTTTCTGTGCACTTACAGGATGTCGGCTGAGTGGCCGTCGCAAGAGGTTTGAGTGATTGGCTCACATTGCGTCTCGGTGGTTGTTTACACTGTATTTAAAGCTGTCCACTTGTGATCGGATCACCCATGATGCATTCTGATACCAGGTGTATCGTTGCTCTTTAAGTCAAACCTCGGTGTGGTCTTCGACTCTGACCTGAACATCATGTGGAGATCTTCACTAAATCTGCTTTTAATCACCTCAGAAATACTGTAAATGTCTGACTCTCTCTCTCTCTGAGGCACCCAGAGAAACCGATGCATGCTGGGTTAATGTAACAAGCTCCTTTCTGGTCTGATTCAGAACTCTGTGTGTGCTAACCAGAACCAGAGAGAGAGAGAGAGAGAACACGTTACACCTGTTTTAAAGTCCTTACATTGGTTGCCTGTTGATTTTAAAGCACTTCATGGTCTTGCAGCGGTTTGTATGTCACACATGCTCACAGAGTTTGAAGCGGTGCAGCGTGAGTCTGATGCTGGTTCCCAAGTGCAGGACAGAAACCTTTTGGCGAGCCGCTGAGAGAGACTTTTTAACAAAAACTGAATGTTTTTTAGACATTTTTTTACCATTTTTTACTCAATTATCTGTGTGTGTGTGTGTGTGTGTGTGTGTGTGTATAGTTATCCTTACTGATTTAATGTGTTTGTTATACCATGGTCTGGGTGAATGCTCGATTCTTATAATGGACACCTTTGCTTTTTTTTTATATATATATGTCTAGGTTGTTCTCCTTACTTATTGTATTGTTATTGTATTGTTACTGTTGTCACTGTGTGTAATGCTGCTGCTACACTGTAAATTTCCCTAGCTTGGGGATCAATCAAAGCTTATTATCCTTAGTTATCGCTTGATCTATCCACTATCTTATCGTATCTATCTTCTATCTTATCTATCCTACGGTCTATCTATTCGTATCTATCTATTATCTATCGTACTATATATAATATATATATATATATGTGCTGTGCCTGGTGTGTGCTGTTATCTTGTGTATCTAACATGAGAACACGTAATCGTCCATGGGTTTGGTTTGTACCACCTTTTAAAATAAACTGTTGCTCTCACACCATGTTCTCTCAGTACCTCTGTTCATTCCTCTCTTTTAAGCCTGAATAAATCAACAGAAAAGACAACACTGCCTCCTTGTGAGGAAAGTGTATTGATGCAGCTTGAAGAGGGTCACTATTCACTTACTGAAGCTGAAACTTTCCTCTCATGTATTAGCTCTAAACGTAATGAAGTCTCTGCCTGTTGTTTAATAAACCCGGTTGTATTTTTAGCAGTATCTGACAGAGAGGTCAATGTCAATTAAAAACATACAAGCTGGAGCATACTTCACCTGCACAAACCTAATATGCAATAACAAATTATATAATACTGTAAGAATACTAAGACAGATGTAAGGACAGAATAAGCCCGCTGTTGATCATTAGTGATGCTAATCACATGTACCAGTGCGGATCAGACGGGACAGGTAGCTGTTGCCAGGATAACAATGGTCCCACACGCCACTCTAATAGTGTCTCATATGGAGAATTTGGGGAAATAGAATAGATTACTCTTTTTTTGTTGCATGATCACATGTCCCATACAACAGCACAAAACTTCCAATTTCTTAAATAATTTCAAATTACATTGAAGCAGTTCTAAATTTAGTAGTATTTTCATAATATCATATATTCTTAATATAATTTATTTTATACATTCAAATATTTCATAGATTCCTCCACGTACCATTAGAGGGAGCTCACAGAGATCAGAAGCCTCAAGGCAGCTGGCTGCTTTTTGCGACTGGTAGTTCGGCCTTGAATTTTGTGACACTAGTGTAAGTGGTGCATGTCTGCTCCCTCAAATATAATTTGTTCTCTAGAGCTCTTGGCATACTTTACAACAACAGCTTGAAGCACCTGCACTCACATAGTTGCTTGAACCATGTCTGTACCCCTACAGTTATAGTGCTTCCTGTCAAACATCTGGAGGGCCAAAGGTCAAGTGATTGTCCAAAAGGATCAAGGCAGCAGCAGGTATAGTGAGAATTTTATTATCCCCAGACACAGAAACTTGTCAGAATCAACATATGCAACACTGTCTGAGCTGAGTTTAATAGACACATATCTCTGGGGGCTAATCAGGTGCCGGTCATTAGGTAGTGGCAGGCTGTCTGTGAAAAGGACCCTCCTCAGGTCACAAGATTACCTGTCACACATGCTAGAGCATTTAAAGCAGATGTGAACAAGCAATACCCAGATATATCTCCCTCTAATGACCCTTCAGCCTTTCCTATTGCAAACTCTAGGGCCAAGAGCTGTTTCACTCTAGTCACTCTTTAAACTATTTCATCCATGTGCAACACCACAGAGAGCCAGGTTCCTCTCACATGCATGTCCCAGGCAACACACCAGTAGAATTTGCTTTTGCCTTTACTGACATCAAACAGGGGCCCGTCTAGAGAAATATTCATGGGGTGGCCAGAGATGCATAGAGACTTTAAGGGGTGGCAGAAATATAACCTTATTTAATCGCAAACAATCACATATATGAATATTTGCTTGGAAA